ATCATAGAACATAGAAGCGACAGTCAAACAGCTGATCGATTTGTTTTCATTTTTCCGGAGGTTCAACAAGAAGTTGGCAGTGGTGGCTCACCGGCATGATGTTGTAACCGTATTGTAATTTAAAATCTGTAGCATGTTGCATGCACAGATATATAACATTTTTTATATATATAGTATTTTTATATATCTGTGGTTGCATGTTTCGACTGTTATTACTTTTTTCTGTGATATTGATAATTTAAATTTTTAAAAATTAGGAAATACATTAGGCATTGCGATACGGTTACAACATCATACCGGTCATCCGCTGCCAACATCATGCCGAGCCTCCAGCTCAAGGTCAACAGAAATATTTTTCRGTGATCAATGGGATTTTGATAGCTGTCGCTTCAATTATGTACTATGACTGCTATGGTTATATCTTATATGTATTACAAAATGATTATACAATTACCAACTGTGTGGGATTAATTACAATGTTAATTAATAACAAAAGCAATTAATAAAATAACTAGGTAATTAACTATTTACAAACAAAAAATACGGAAGAAAGTTTAATTATAGTTTAGAGATGTGACAAATRTGTTTTTAATATTTCTCTATTAGTTTTGTGAGAAATCAGTAATACATGTTATCCATGGTATTATACAAAAAATAAATAAGTAAAACAATTTTATTTTATATTAACAATACATAATAAATATTATAAACTAATTTTTGAACTGTTAAAATTAATAATAGTTAACAAAGAAATAACTAAAACTAATATTAATAAACATTTAATCGTTAATACACTTAGCTGCATGTGTTGCTTCCTATCTTACAAACACCTAACATATACCATTCGCATTCTGTAGAAACAGTTTWGTGTGTCACTTTAATATTTGAGTGAATTGACCTTGTACATAGGGTTATTAAGATATTCCAAATTTTAAGTGAGTTTTTAATATGTAAAATATTGCAATCAAAATTATYGTGATTAAGATAAAATATTAAATCTTTTTATCCACAGGTTTAATAATTGGAAAATTCACTCTAGTATTAATTCTAACAAGAAAAAATTGATTCTGATGAACACAAATTTGGTATTGTAAATKTTTAAGATGGAGATGACACAATTGGTATGAAGTCATCATAATTGTACTTATAACAATTTTAACAAATCTATTTGACTACAGTCATTTTAGCTAACTATTTTACGCCATAATAGTTTCATAGGTAATAAGTTATTTCGTTCTTGTAGTTTTTTATCAAATACATTGAAATCTGCTTTTCGAAGCTTTTCCAAATATATATGAAGTGGAACAAATGGTAAGTATATTGATTTAATATGTTTATTTTCCTTCTTCTCCAAATTTTTGGCCTAAAATTTATTTCTAATACAAATTATAATATTAATATGGCTATTAAAAGTTATTATGTTACCTTCATTAGATGACTGTTAGCTCTTGAAGCCAATTCATAAATTGCATCACGAACATTCTGTTCACTTGAATTTCTTATGATATTTTCATAGGAAACCTTATATTTTGACAAAATGTCTTGAGGTATTGATATACGACCAGATTTTGTATTAAAAGGAATACCTCTGATAATGTTTATAATTCCTTGACATTTACCTAGATGACTTACAGCATGATCAACTTTCATGTCCTTAATCCCTGTAATAATATCAAAGTAAGGATATTTTTGAATAAATATTTACTTAGTATAATAGTTTTAATATACTAAGGTATAATATTTAGCAAAAATAATTATTAATAATATAAACAACTTTTAAAAATTAAATTAGATATTTTTGTTATTTAATTTAATACTTATTTATAATAACATTCTCATAATATAAGTTTGATCAATTTATAATACATACATTTTTGTATTTTGTAGCTTTTTTTTGCGAATAGATTATCTTTTTYATTTGTTTATTGTTGCCAAAAAATAAAAATGCAACGATAGAGATAAAATTCTCTTTTGCCTAGTAATGAACATTWGGTAAATCTACTGTAAGTAATGTACTCATAAATAAACAATGTAAATAGTGGTTATGCCCTATTAAGTTATTTAGTTATTAATTACCATGAAAATGCACAAAGTACTTAGAAACACAGTATTCAATCATTAAAATACATTAACTTTGTACAGTTCAGAAAATATAACATAGCCATAAGCTGATAATAAAATGTAGGAAAAGGTTTTAAATGGTTAAAATATTATTTAAGTATATTTAGATATATACAGTGTGATCAAGATTAAAGGTAACACTTAACATCTCAGGGTTTTCGAGAGGCGATATGGATGAGTACCTCAATACATATTTTCAAATAAATTTCAAATTTGTTAACATTTGGTGTGCACATGTGCAATAAAACTAACATTTTTAATAGAAACGCTATTTTTTTCTACATATTTGAATAGATTATTATTTTTTATACATTTTTCGTTTCAAAAGTTTATTTCTATTTACAAAACTGACCAARTTAGAGTAACCTAAAATTTGAATAYATACATAATTTGTGTTTAATGACATTTTCATTTATAACCACTGTAAATAATAAAATAAGTGTGAAATTATTAAACRTTATGTTTAGAGTATATTTGTAAATCGTATTAATTAAATGTGTAAAAAAATATATATAGAGATTATAGTAATATTAATATTATAATAAAAAATAAAAAGTATTAACTAAATTAAACTACACAAAGACTTCTTAATATTTTTTGGATACAGATCTATCTGTCAATCTTTAGGATTTACAACCAAAATAAAGGTAGCATGTGATATTTTAAGTGAGGACTAAAGCAAGGCGGAAACTTTGAACAAATTTTTGAGGTGACTTGAATCATGTTTAGAAATTAAACACAAATTATGTATAAATCCAAAAAAACTTTTGAAACAAAAAATGCAAACCAAGTGTTAAAAAATTTGAAATTTATCTGAAAATATGTATTTAGGTACTCCTTATCGCCTCTCGAAACCCCATGTCAATACAAGGCCATCCACCTGAGATGTTTAGTGTTATCTTAAATCGTGATAACACTGTATATTAAAATAAGTTAAGTAACTTTGGTTTAACAATACTATTTTTATTTTAGTGTTAGAATGTCATATTATTTTCTTATGATCATTTATAATGTTATATAAATCAAAATTTGATAAGAATATTTTATTTATTTATATTTAAATACTATTAGGTTTTTTTGCCAATTTGTTGTAATATATTTTTTAGTTCAAAAACAGAAGTTGTTAGTTATTACAGAAATATTACTTTCTATATTATGACCAACACTGATAATGAGGGTAATTCAAAAAAAAAGTGAATACAATTTTATTACATGAAGTATACAAAATGCAAAAAATACAAACCCATTGCTTCTAGAAATAAATAATATACTGGTGAAACAGAGTTTTCAGCATAAGTCTCTAAATCTTCAACGGTTTTCAGAGATGAATTTAACATATAATTTTCTCGAGATGAGATCAAACGTTTCAAGTATATTATACTTAATTTATGCGTTTTTGTTGCCTGTAACAATAAAATAAAATAATTGTTATTGCTATGTATAAAGATAGTTACTCTTACCGTATAAAGTTCGATGAGTACAGGATGTTTTGGAATTTTATTTTGATATATTTCATTCAAAGATGACTCCCAAAATTTAAATCGCATTTCTCCGATTTTCATATCACTTATTTGATCTTGAATAGTTGCTACCTCAATATTAAATGCTCTAACAGCAAAACCGGTTCTTCTAATATTTTTGTGTAATAATAAGGTGCATAAATAATTTTCAAAATCATGTTTTCTGTAAAACAGTTGAATTATTATTTTTATTAATGTCAGCTTAACATTTGATTTTTCAATATTTCACATATTCATTATAGGAAAACACTTTGTATTCATTATTTAAAAGCTAAATGTTTAATTTAAGCAAACATTCACAATTACGAAATGTTCTTACTGATAATCTATTGCCCCATAGTAAGTTTATATATWTTTTTTTATACAGTTATAACTTATTAATTATAACACAATCAAATTAATAATAGTTTATTAATATTTTAATCAGTTGAGTAAATTTTYTAATATGTTATGCTATGTAACTAGTTATAKYAGTTCGGTTAYAAAATAATAAATGCAAAAAACTGTTTTGATATAATAGTTAGAAGATACCAGTGCAATATGCCTTTATTTAAYTAGGCCTATGAGCAACACAGATGAAATTTTTACACCTAAATTTGTTTTCATGATTTTTGAGGGTATGATATAAATTTTATATTTTATTATTATTTGACTTTGAAATCGACTTTAAAAATAATTTGTTTTTTGTAAATTCAAATAATATTTGAGATACTATTCATGAATATTATTTTTGTAAAGGGTGATTTTACTTTAAGCCTACTCAAAAACAAAAAGTTTCTGCGTGAATGTGTATTAGTAGTCTATGTTGTGTAAGTGTTAGAGTGAGCAAACAAACAGTGCGCTTACAACAGTACTAACAGTCCTCTTAAAGCTTGTAAATGTTTGACAGAGATGGTAATTGTTTAAATTGTTTAAATTGCTAACATCCTCTAAGAAAGGTTATCAATATTTTGTAAATAATTATTTAGAATATCATTGAATTACTAATAGATAAAATATTATCAATTAAATTGCATTAACAGTTACATGTCTTCAACAATGTCGGTGTTATATAAGCGTATGCAATTCCTTATTTGTAATTAACATCAAGAATTAGTATCAAGACTTAAATCCAATAATATGTTGTTTAGATTAAGAAATCTAAGTGTCATAACAGTTTATAATCATGGGATACCAAATATAACAACAATGGTTAAAACATAATTAATTCAAATTAGGAACTTTAATTTCATCATATACAATATTTTTTAGGTATCAARTTATGTATTCGACTTTCATTATATCTTGTATTCAATTGAATCTTAAACATAACATTTAATAGATTAGCCTATTTCATAGACATAAATAAAAGATTTAAMCAACTTGTTTGTTATAGTGTCTATGATATATATTTTTTGTTCACATTTATATCAACATAATATAGAATTTTATAATACAGTGAAACCTCCCTTAACAGACACCTTTAAATTGCGGACATCTCCAAATAGCCAAATAAAAATTTATTTTACACTTTGTTTATGGTTTAATTAAAATTAAATATTTTACACTATAAATATAAATTTGATAGTAAAATGAAAGATGTAACACACATTTTGAGACATATAAGAGGTAGGATTTTTAACGGGCTACGAAGTGCACGGGTTCTGCTAGTATTACATTATTTGATGAAAAATTTTTAGATCAAAGTCTTAAAAAGCTTGCGTGTGGAGTCATCAGGTCCTTCTGGAATACAAATATTTAACATTTTTATTTAAGATGAAACTAAAAGCCATATAATTATACTATTTTTTTTTTACCCTTATATATTTTTTAAATATACTTAATTGATATTATAYAGTACGTTGGTATTTTACTCTAACTCAGCACAACGGTATATAAAAAAACAACTCTACCAGTACATGGATTTGATAAAACCAATTCAATTATAAACCTCAAAATTTATTTTTTAGAGCAGTGAAAAATCTCAACAGAAAATTCATTAGATGGATTTAAAGATAAAAAATTATTCTTCAGAAATAGTTTTACATTATTTCTACAGCATTCAAAAAATCAATATTAACTGCAAAATAATGAAAACAAATGAGACCATTTACTTAATTTATTAAAATATTGATCATTTTGGATAACTTTAGGTTTGTTTTAGTTTATGTTTAGTTTGTTTCAAGCAATTATTCTTCATTGCATTCAAATTTAATGTTACATAAAAACCATCCACAATATAATATACATTTAAGCAAGTGAGTCTTCATACAGCATTTTTTAAATAATAATAAATAAAAGACATTATTTCCAAAATACAAATGCAAACATGCCATTAATGATACATTAACAAAATTAGCAGTAAATTGTAATTTATACAGAAGAAAATAAGGTAAAACCTCAAATAGACGGGATCGTTCAGGGTCATGAAATTTTTCCGTGTTAACGGGGTTAAAAAAATTGAATTGAATTAAATAAAAGATTAGGATCGACATAAACGTTATACAATTTGATATTGAACCAAGCAACTCAGATAATAATGTTGTATAGTGTATACTGTATACATATTGATTTTATTAGTTTTTAATGTTATCGTACACACTCTTACTATTCATTGTCTACGAGTACCGATAATACGAAAATAAATTTATGACACGAAAATCATGTTATATATCCCTCTTAGTGAGTGTTTTCATCAACTGTCATTACAAAAACGTGTGTCCGATTTGGGCTTAGCGAGGTTTCCGTCTTAGCRGGATAAAATTATATGTAATTTGAAACGGGACCAAAAAAATGTTCAATAATACCGGAGTTTTTCCGTCTTAGCGAGGTTTTACTGTATATTAATTCAAAATAATTGTACTAGGTAAAAGTATAAAAGATATACATTATAAACATATGGATACAGCATCCTTATATTTACATTTTTTGACCCAATATAAATGAGAGAGAAATCATAGTTCTCATACACAGAAGCTATGGTACCAGTTGTGCTGACTAACAGATTTTTGTATGATGCTGCGATTCATAAGTTTAATATCATTGGTCATAAAGTAATGTTGGTAAGATACTTCAATTTAGTCTWGTGCTGTTTTTAATTAATTTATGTCTAGTAATAGAAATTAATTAAATTGTTTCAATTTAATAACTTTAAAATGGTAACACAATGTATTCTGTTACTAATTAGTATCTAATAACACTTATTCCAGTATCATTCAAATAAAGTATTGTGTTTATACTTCCCAAAAATATTTACCTAACTAATTCCAAACAATATTTTCCTGTAGAGTTTTTTCGTACGCAATTTATCGTTTGTACAAAGCGGCAAGACAATTCTTTAATACATTTTCTTATTAACATTTCGTAATTAAATTGATCTAAGTGATCATTGAATCTTTATGATAAATCAAAATTTGAAGATTTAAATGTATATTTCAACGCAATTAGAAAGAAAAAAGTTATTTCCAAACAAAAATCGTATCAAATTAAAAATTTTTTATCATATGATAAGAGCTGATATCAGCACGTGCCCATCAACAAGACACAGTGTAGGCATTCAAAATGTCAATATTAAAATGCGTATTATGTAAACTTAAATTAATAAAAAATAAAGAWTTTTTTTGTATAAAATAAGTTTTGCATTAAATTAGCGTTTAAAAAATTTTTTTTTTATAATTCAATTGTTTTTGGATACGTATGTACAAAATTTCAATAACGATCCATAATATGTTTAGTGGGAGAAAAATTGTATAAAGGGAATTTTCTCGTTAATCTTTTGTCGTTGGTCAATCATCTTCCTATTGTGCATTAGACGGACGACGAGGGGTTCTGTGACTTGCGGACMAAAAATTTTTTCCTTCGTGTTCGTACTCGAGTTATTCAAGTTTATCGATTATTCATAGTTTCTAGTTTACAGTATTCTTGGCGAACGATTGATCGTATTAGTAATCTTATCATAATATCATGTTGTGTTAGTTATTCAATCGCATTTGTGATGTTGCCCGAAAATGGTTTGTATAGACGAAGTAGTTGCTTACTTCAAAACACTTAAAAGCTACGAACGGCTTTGGATGATGTGTAGACTCCAAAGCCACTGTCTTCCAATTGAATTGAGGTACCTCGGCACTTGTTTAGATAACTTGTCTAAAAGAGATATTCACATATTGAAAAAATTGGAAATTGAAGCCAACGATCCAGCCAATGTTAGTGAAGTAGCTTGCAAGTGTATTTGCGATAAAACTGTTAGGGCAGCGGTTATTAAGTATTTATCTGTATTAAACACTAATAGTACAAAGTGTTCGGAACTAATTTATAAGGCGCTAACAGACGAMAAAGGTTTAGAACGCATATTTAAGTGTCCAAAAGCGTTCTTTAACGATAAAAACGCATTTGAGGAGCTTATGGTATTGTACACATTAGCTGTAAATCATCCAGCGTTTATATTTGAACAAAAAACTCAACTAGATAGCATATTCAATTGTATTAAGAAAGAAAAAGAGAGACAGTTGTCCAAAAAGAAAGGCGGTGATCTAGACAAAGAATCTTCTGATATTTTAGAGGTATGTATATTTCATATATTAATACACCTAATTAACTTTTTAGTAATATATGTCCATATACCTACATAATATGCAATTAGACAATTGGAAACTGAATAAGTACATTTTTACTAAGTATTTGAATTTTAAATAATAAATGGTAAGTGGTAAAACTGTACTTTAGCAGTAGAGGCATGAATAGCTATTTTATGAGTCGGAAACCTCATGCCAAAGTGGGAGTCGGTATTCCGTTAATTCCAGTCTCCAAGACCTAGACGGTTATATGAGTTTATAGTTAATACTCACATAGTTACATACGACCCTCGTTTAAAATATGTGAGAAGTTGATTGTAAAGTGTGAACAAGCTGGTGGGTAGRTACTTATTTCACACCGCTACTTTACTGTAGTATATACATTTTAGGTTATTATTTTAATAATTAGGGAGGTAAAAAAATTTTTTATACATTTAAGTTAAGGGCTGTAATATATTTGTACATATTTTTAGTAAAGCCTATATTGAAAAAAATGTGTATTCTCATAATTAACCTGCTATTGCAATGAAACTCGTGTATTGTGCAATCTATTCATTTTAACATTCTTAGTATTGAATGTAAGAATGATTTTATTAATTTTAAAAATTAATAGGTATTATAATTTTTTTTTTAATTTATTATTTAGTTACTTRAAGATAAACTACTTATTTAATTTTATCATTATTTATATCTTGATTATTTTAATATTTATTAACTAGTGTACATTTCATCTTATGAACTACAATAACTACTTGTAAGATACATATTTATATATTTTGATTGAATAAATCATTTTTGTAAAAATATACCTTACAAACTAGTTTTTTTAATTATTGTCTAAAATAATACGTTGAATTTAACTATCTATTTAAAAATTAAAATTATATTTGTTTTTACTTCTTTATGTACCTTCTTATTGTTTATGCAGCAAACATATGACCTTGTCATATTAACATAAAAATTGGACTATTTTTAACATCCACATTTGGCTAAAAACTAATTCGGTTATTTTCATTGTCAATGATCATGATTACTATAATACTATAACATGTATGTATTTTCATCACAAATAGAAGCTAAACATATTTATTTCATATAGGTAAAAACTTTAAGCTTGAATTATAAACAATAATTTTTTTTATTAACCTACTTAAAGTATAAAATCTAAACATGTATCTATTTTAGATTTAAAAAGATTGTATTTATATTTCAATATTTTGAGTGTAGTTAATCTCAATAAAATTTATTTTATGTTCAATTTTTCGTTAAAAAACTTCCTTCACCCAAGGTAATATTAACTATTTAGATGAATAGGTGTTTAAATCCCTAGGCAGGTAGATACTTATTATTTTAAATAGATAAGTAATTATTAAATACCAAGATATTATATTTGTTTTTTCTTGTTTATTTGTACATTTTTATCGAATACATCTTTTACAAAATTAAAATACATAAAAACAAAATAATTTGTATTGGGTATTTGTGTCAAACATTTGTTTCAAAATTTTTAATCTACTAATAAATTTATTAATTACCCAYTTATGATATTCAAAAATAAGAACATTAAAATAAAAAATATTAATTTTGTTCAGGGTTATTAATAATATTAAGGTCACAAGTTTGGTTTTATTTATTTTATATAAAGTGGTACCTACCTGGTATTTTTTTATTTAAATCTCATAAGCGTAACTTAATTAGGTAATATTAATTTTTAAATTGTAAAAGACTTGGCAGATTCATTATATTTTAATTCAATTGATAAAATGAAATGGCTTATTTTATTGTTTATTAATTTTACTTATTCACAATTGTTCACATCTTATTTAGGCTCTAGGTATATTTTATTCTTATTACTTAAGCGTGAATATTTTACGCCATAAAAACTAATTAAATATTCATTAAAAAGTCTTAAGTATGTATGTATAAATATTTGCACTTAATACAGGAACGTAGCTAAGATTAAATAATTAGGATGGCATACCTAGTTATGGCCAACAATTTTACTTTACCCTCCTCCCCCCTCCACACTAGACACTAATAGAATTATGTTTATGTATTGGACATAGGTWTATTGTWTATAATATGATAAAATTGTAGTTTCTGAATATAATAATTAGTTATTAAATTATTACACTGTACATGGATCACGATTCGCGACAACCACAACCACAAGTCTTCAAACGTCAACTGAATAAGTATAGCCGTATTGCTAGGTAAAGTTGTAAAGAAGAAAATAGTACAGAAATAGAGACACAATGTTATTATCACTTTTAAATATTACAGCTGATTGCGGTTGACTGTTGTAATAAAATAAATTGTACTAAAATACTCTATGTYATATATATTATATTATTATTTGTTATAGTTAATTAGACCTTGGCGATTAAAATTATATTTATAGATTATAAGTAGGTATCTATAGTACCTAGCATAATATATATTATTAGTTATTAGTAATTTACATAATAATTATCCAGGTACCCACTAAGAAGTCATGTCGCAATGGGAAATGCTGATTTACTGGAATAGGAATACCTGCTAGTTCTTGCGACTTTATAATAATAATAAATATAGATGCATTGTTGTCGTCGTTAATACGACAAATACGACTAGTATATATGAACAATTTCTATTCTGAGTTTTGATATCTGGTAATCTGCCCATAGTGTTTGAAAAGACAATTATGTAAAAATAACAAATATGATAATAGAAATATTAAAATACGTTTAATTTTTGTACCCATTTATTTGAGCCTTGGGTATTTCAAAAATATTTCAATGTAATGGRGTGGCCATCAGGGTGGCCTGTAAATATTTTGGTTGACCGGGCCACCCCAGGCCACCCTTTAGTTACGTGCCTGACTTAATAATTAGCAAACCTGACATTTATTTTTTGAATATTTAATTAAAATAAAAGATATAAAATTATGGAATATATAATATGTATTTATAAATTTTTTTTTTCGTATGGTGCTATGTCTGAGAGTAATCACAAAGGCCTAGTTTGAACGCCTATTTGGCGGAATTTCTTGTGGGCACCTGTAGGTTTCTGCCATGTCTGGGCGGGAGTGGAAGCCTCTCTCTCCAGACACCGTGACTTCTTGAAGAGGGATACTGCCTATGACTGAGGTTCGAACTGACGACATTGCACATTCCAGTCGACGCCTTAGAATGCTTAGCCACTCCATCCTCATACTATATATAAAATAAAATATAAAATCCAAATATCGCTGACTCACTGATTACTGTATCTCAAAAACTATTCAACATACAAACTTGAAATTTGGAGTAGTTATTTATATATAAGTTCATTTAATACTTTCACCATGCACTAAGAATGGATTTTTCAGAATTTTGATTTTAAGGGTTGAAATCAGCAAAAATAAATTTATATGTGTAAATTGTACATATACATATATTTGTGTATTTATATAACAAGTTATTAAATAATAACATTAGTTGGCTGATAACGTTTGGTGCAGGTTGGAACATAGAAATGTCAATTATTATTTATAAATGTTAAAATATTATTTTAAATATAATTATTGTCGTTTATTCGGTGTAAGCTCTGGAAATACTTACATTTTTGTTTACCATCTGAAAGCTAAAATAAGTTTCACTATAGTTATACAAATATTCAGTGGCGTCGAAGTCCTAAAAATCTAGTAGGGCGAAAAATATTTCWAGAGGCCCAACATCTTAATATCGGAAAAAATGGCATACCGTGTTGAAGAAAATGATCWATATGAAGCGGCCCTATCTTAAATTTTCAAAATATGTCGGGCCATGGCCCGACCTTAACATAGTGTTCGGCGCCACTGCAAATATTTGTAGGAGTTTTTAAATCACCTTTTAAGAGGAAGCCACACCCGCTGTGTTGTCTTCGTCGTACAAGTACGTAGCATAGCAAATTTTACGCTCAGCAGATTACGTTTATCTCCGTTATTTTAAAATTTAGAGTGAATTGACATATTTAAAAAATTAAAGGCAAGATTATTGCCGAGTGCATCTCATAGGCTTTTAATTATATTTTAATTTTAAAGCGAGTAATGAGTATTTTAAAATTGTAAATAATTTTTATATCTAAAAATACTCATAACTCGGCTTAAAATTAAAATATAATAAAAAGCCTATGAGATGCACTCGGTAATAATCTTGCCTTTAATTTTTTAAATATGTCAATTCACTCTAAATTTTAAAATAACGGAGATAAACGTAATCTGCTGAGCGTAAAATTTGCTATGCCTAYGTACTTGTACGACGGAGACAACACATGTGGGTTTGGCGTCCTTTTAATGCATATATTATAGATATAAGACATAAATAATATAGGTATTATTGTAATAAAAGTATGCATTATTTAACTGTTGTAGATTTTCTATACTTAGCTATATTAAAATTAATTGTGGTTTATTATTATTCTAAATTTTTACTATATTTTTAAATTAATTTGAATTAAATATGATACATATGATAAATGTTATAGATTTAGTATCAAATATACCATTAACAATTTTGTTAATATCACAGGAAACGAGCACCAGTATAAGCTGTTTTTTTTTACGTTTTAGAACATCAACACCATGATTCCACCACCCAACTATATGTATCAGCAAACTCAAGGAGGGCCAAATTATCCTCTCAATAGAAATGGCTATTTATATCCACGTCATTGTAAATACAATTTTGATTAAATAATTTAACTAAAAAAAAATGTAATTCACTTATTTTTAATTTAGATTATCCGTTTCCTCCTGTGAATGTTCCACCAATGCAAGTTTGTTACGACTATCCACCACCMACCGCAGTTCCAGGTATAAGAGGACCCCATCAAGCTAATTTTTCAAAATCTCCAAGTCCAGTTTCTTGGCCTCCACGTACATTCCAAATAAATCCACGTAATCAGCAACCAAACATAAACTCAAAGCAAAGGCATCCTACTCCATCAAGATATCGTAATCCTCCAGATCCTAGCTATCCATTTTCACAATCATGGAACAACTGGAACATGTATCAAATGTCACCACATAATATGTATGCCAATTATAATCATACTCCAGGCATAGTAAGTAATATTATAAATTAAATTAATGTACAAATACTAAATTGATTTTAGAATCTTAAACATTTTTTCATATGTGTATACTAAAATATAAGATAATTGATACTCAAGGATCAAAGTGGATTTAGGGTTAAACGTTATAGTTAAGGMAACTAGCTCTAAAACTCCTTAAAAAAATAGTATTATTTAGGTATATTATATTTATATTAATTTATGTTGCTGTAATCTTTCTTTCAATTATTAATCTGTTCATTTTTTATTAAATGGTTATTAAACTAATTTCTTATTATAATCCTTAATGTTGTATTAAGCAATTAAAGTTATTTTCAAGTTTTCTAACAAAAATGTTAGTATACAGTATAAATTAAGTAATAGGTACTCAATTATCACTTAAAATGTATAACCAAATTAATTAAGTCAGTAATTCTTTGCATATTTAAATTAGGTTCCTTCTTTCTATCCTGAAAATGCTATGAGTCGTAACTACCAAGGACATGGGACAAAAAGTAAACATTCAACTGTTAATCGATATCAAGATCAATGTAAAAGCCAAATGCCGCCACCAATGCCTGTGGTATTATGATATCTAAATTGTGTTGCTAAAAATATTATTAATATTCATACTTTTATTTTTATTTACAGTCTACTTCTCCAAATAATGTTGATGCTGTTATTAAGAGTACCAAGCCTCTTCTAACAAATACTACAACAAACTCTACAAATGAAAATGAACCTATTCTTGAAACACATAACCAGATGCCATCATCATCAAAATCTTCAGAAGATTGCAGTCAAAGTAGCTCTTATAAATCTATTAACTCGTCTATTTCGGATAAAATGTCAGGAGCTTTTCCTCAACATWCAGTTGAGAATAACTCAAATAATGCAAATTCAAAGTTAGTTCAATCTGAAAATCAATGTCAAAATACTAGTTTAAAAGAGTTTATCTCAAAGCCTACTCTTGAAAATAAGATGAAAACAGACAAAAGTAAGTTAAAAATTTCTAAATTTCAACCAACATAATATTCACTGCCTATAAATTTACAACAAATGCTTTATACTACAGATACAAACCAACAAACAATTACTACATTAGGACTTCCTAAAAGTGAATCCACAAAAAATATTGATCTCTCTCCGCTTTCAACTGTGTTGGATGATGAAAAAAATAAAGAGGAAGAGTCTACTGTTATGTCGAATGAGATAAATGAAGAAAAATCCACGTCTAGTTCTGATCACAAACCACAAAATACAAGTAATATATATTTTATTATACAGGGTGATTCTTTTATCATGAACCACTYATTATTTCAAAAAGTATCAATGTTTTTGAAAATATTTTTTAACAAAGTTTCATGTTAAAAAAAACAATGTTTTTATTGAAAAATTATGTTTTTTAATATTTTTTATCCTTATAATTTTTTAAGTTTTTTACTTTTTTGAATGACAACCTAGAGTTTTAATTTCATATTCCAAAGCAGAATATTTTTCTAAGTATTTTGATACGTAAAAATCTAATTTTGGACGAGTAGTTTATGAGTTATAAGTATTTAAAGTTTAAATTGGCAGAGTGGAGTGGTACGAGGTTACCCCTTAAAATGTTTGTCCACTACATCACTTCTCTAAACTTAAAATTCTTATAACTCATAAACTACTCATCCAAAATTCGATTTTTACGTATCAAAATACTTAGAAAAATATTCTGCTTTGGAGTATGAAATTAAAATTTTAGGTTGTCATTCAAAAAAGTAAAAAACTTAAAAAATKATAAGGATAAATATATTTAAAAATATAATTTTTTAATAAAAACATTGTTTTTATAACAACATGAAACTTTGTATAAAAATATTTTCAAAAACATTGAACTTTTTGAAATAGTGAGTGGTTCATGATAAAAAAATCACCCTGTATATGCATAACAAATTATTTTAAATTTCTTTCATCTTTATAGAAATTCAAGTGCAACTTGAAACCAACACAACAAAAGTATATGAAGTTCAAGAACCAACAGTTGGTGCTGCTGCAAAACCAATGAGTACTTTCACTACAACTAGTTCATACAATGCGCAAGCCAGTAAATATTATAAAGGGCGTCCAATACAATCTCATCCGAGGACTTCACGTGACGGAAATATAAATAATAGTTATAATAGGTGATATTCAATTTTTATAAACATAAAATATATTTAATTAYACGAATACTTAATATGAATCATATAAGAGCTAATAGATAATTATTGAATTAAGCTAAATACTTAAAATTAGAATTTGACTTAAATACTTAAAATATTAAGAGGACGCTATGCCTGTTTTTTTTTACTCTAAGTTACTAGTGCATAAAATAATAAATTTATACTTTGAAGTTCATGTATAACTTTGTTAGGTTAAATACTATTGAAATCAACCAATCATGAAACGTAATGGTAAGAACATATTCTGTCTTTAAGTGGGTTTTTAAATGGTTATTAAGTTTGTATATAAGTTATTACATTTTTAATTTATTTTATATGCAAAACTTGTTAACCATCTAAACTAGAAAAGCTTTTATGTGTTAAGCATAAATTTGCGATGTTATGCATTTTTAAGTCTAACACAACAAATACATAATACATAGTACATACTTAGGTACTGAGGTACAAAATCATAAGTTTTTTAGTGATATAATAAGATAATATTGTTAAATTTTTTTTATTCAGCCAAAACAATTACAATTAACAAGACGTTACACAATTATTTGTTGCCTCTATCTTACAAGTGCATAACATCGTAAATTTATACTCTGCAGATCACATTTAGCTCCGTTAGTGTAAATATTTAAGTGAATCGACCTCTCATGAGACTTGTTGTTATGAAAATTATCTGTGTTTGTATGTGTGTTCTTTTACGAT